AACTATGCATATTATTAATTAGAAGAATCTACTGACTTAATAAATTCCTTTCAAATTAGTTTAACATAAAACATATTTTGTTAAAATAACTGGTAGTTTGGTACTGTTTATCGATATATCTCACAGGAAAATGTTGCTCTGTTATTACAATGCTTTTTATTAATATTTCAGAATGAACTAATTAATGCTTAACACCCTATGCATCAGATATAACTTACTGATATCTCTTTCTTTAATGATATATTCAGTAATATACTATATATTGATCATTAGACTCTACTTTTTAATTTTTTTTTACACATTCTGTCACTGATCTGAAATCCTATTTGTAAATCACAGAGCATAACCAGGCCTTAGTTGGTTTAATGGCAGATAGACAGTCCTATACAGTTTCTCTGGAAATGAATTGGCAGGAATATGAAATTATTTCATCATACACAAAACAGAGGTCAGAAATTTACCAAACTCTCTTACCACAGGTATGCAAAATGTGCAATAAAATGCCTATGATTGAAAAATAAATCTAGAGTTAGATCTATTCCTACTCTTAAAAATGTCTGCTGGTTAGTTTGCTTATAAGAACAGACTGATTTCTTTTTTCCGGTTACTGTTTTTTCCATTCTAACAGCTCCAAATATTTAAAGTATACAGCGTGTACATGCTTACTGTTGGACGATTTGACAACAGAGTACTAACAACATCACCGTTCCCATCTTATTTGTAACAGATGATTGTCAGATGCAATCCAACAGTCAGCTGCAGGGCTGCTGCCTTTGCTTCAAACATTCTCCTTCCCGGACAGAATGGCATACGGAGCAAGTGGAAATATGCAGCTGAGGTTAAAATGAAAATTAATTTAAAAATTCAAACCTTGAACATATATACAAAAACCAAGAGGTATCCTGACCAATTGAAAAGGTTTCTCGTTTCCTCTTTTAACATGTTTCCTTTGAGAATGGCCCCTTTTATACGTGAGCATAACCAACTAGGTCAAGCAGTTCTTGTCAAGTACACCCTGTGGTAACAGGTACTCAGCTTCACCTCCTGCTGCATCAGTACATAACCAGGGGTCATTTCATAACAACCCCAGAGCCCATTGTGATGTGTGGGGTGTACAGCATGTCAGTGAAGAGAAAAGGTTTGTGAACCCCCAGTGTAATAATGGGAATTACAGTTTCTTACCATGATACCCTTGTTTCGTTGGAGGTGGTCTTTGCATAAACAGCCAAAGGATCTCAATGTTTTCTGAGATACAGTGGTGTATGAAGTTGAAAAAAAAATAATAACTGAATAATCATAGTATGTGAAATATTAAGCAAACACTTACTTTACACTTCACAATTGAGGAGGCGATTAGAGTCAAATGGTTAAATAATTAGTTAACACGAAAACAAGGACTGAGTGTGGGCAGTCCTGTCCTATATATATATAAAAAAACTGTTCTATCTGTGAGTTTGGTTAGGATTATACATTATACAGCTCAGTAGAAATGCAGAGATTTCAGAGGCCCTCAGAAAAAAACAGTAGTTGATGCTCATCGGTCTGAAGAAGGTTACAAAACCATTTGTAAACATCTGGGCTTCCATCCTTCCACTGTCAGACAAACCTACCGATGGAAAATATTGAAAACCATGAGAACACTACTTGGGACCAGTCATCCTGAGAAGATCTCCCCAAGAGTGAGCCAAAAAAATCACCTAGGAAGCCAGAAATAACCCTAGAGCAATAATTAAGAATCTGCAGGCCTCTCTCACTATAGTTTATGTCAGTGTTCTGTCAGTATTGTCCATTTGGAAAAGGCTGAATGTGAATTGTTTTAATGGTAGTATAGCCAGGGAGAAACCATTGCTCTCTAAAGAAACATTGCTGCCCATCACAAGTTCACCAGTAAGCACCTGGATAATCCACAAAACTACTGGAATAATGTTCTCTGGACAGACGAGTAAAAAATTTATATTTATGGCCACAATGAGAAGCATTTGCATGGGGAAAACTAAACACTGACTTCTGACAAAATAACTTCATCTTGTCCATCAAGGCTGGTGGTAGAAGTATCAATAGTCAAACTAAGGCTGGCACATTTGCAGAATCAATAAGTAGAACAACTAAGTGTAAATCCCTTTCACAGCCCAGATGTAAGAAGTTTAGTTGCATCAATTATTTCAACATCATCCAAGCAATGTGACAAGTTAGATAGTGGATCATTAATATCAGTCTTCATGTGTCTCCATGCACATTGTTCACCGAAGGGGGCCACGTGTATAAGCACATATTAAAGGTTATAGAGTTAGTACTTAACAGGTAAGGAATAATTACTGCAACATGTTAACCATAAAGCTCTGTATTGTCACCAATGTGCCTCAAGGGGTGTTAAAGGTAAGAGCTGACTTTGTAAAAAGAACAGTAATTGATCAGCTCCTAACGAAGTTATCAAGAGTGATTAACTTCAAAGAACAGGACAGACTGTAAACCACCTGAATATGAAAGGAGTACATGAGGCTGTACCGTAGAAACAGGGTTTGAAAACTTTGGCAGTGTGTTTGTTCTGCGGGGCAGAACTGTGTGTATTGAGCTCAATAAAGGTTGAATCTACACACTTTCTGCCCCCTGCTCTTCTGCTGAAGCATTTACCATCATCAGGGATGTTCCTCAGGCCCTCAGAAGACAACAATTCCAACTCTTGGTTGTTAATATGTTATCCCTGAAAGGCCGTGGTGCATGCAGATTCATTAGAATCATGAGTACTAATTATAATTTAGACTGATTTTAAAGATGTGCATTAAGGTATGATTATTGTTTAACTTAGAGCTTAATTTACATAGTTTGTCTGAAGTTTTTTTTTACCCTGAATGCAATTACAAACTCACTACAGCTAATATACCTGAAAATGTCCGGTTTGAACAGGCTTTCCGGTTCCTGTTGCAGAGTATGTTGCGATGCTGTGGGTATTGAGGAATATTCCCAAACTATGATATACATGTACAGAATAGCTTCCTGCTTTCAGGAAACTGAGATAAACCACTTCACAATATCGTTTAACATTAGTTTAATTTTACTTAACATTCATCCGGTTGTCGATTCAACATCAGTCAGAAATTGTATCTTTTAATATAGCTAGGGCAATATTTAAAAATATGAATAACGGTAACCTAATATTTCAAATATATTTACTGTCGCTACTTGGTGTAGTCAGATTATATATATAATATTATAAATATATAAATTGAGGTGCACCATTCTTATTTTGTTTTGTTTTGCCGATCGTTAATAATATTAAATATACAGATTTTGAAAACTACACCATTTAGCGTTTGCAGTCATTTTCTGTCATGAGTAACATCAGGCTTTTTGTAAAAAAAAAGGGGCCTCTTTGCTTCTGCACGACAGTGGTGTAAAAAAACAACTTTCACCTCTTCGACAGCGGGCATCAAGAGTTGGTAATGAGTAATTTTCTTTGAAAGTTTCCATTCGTTGGTTATCAACACTTTCTCTGCAGGTGCACATTAAACACATTGTAACAAGCTTAAAGTGAAATCGTAAAATGTGCTGTTCCGGACCTGATTTAATTTAATGAATGTCCCTTGTGATCGTGTATTGGGGACTCTCCTTTTCTCCTATTTAATGCTAACTCTTAAGAACGGCATAGAAATATTCTTGTTTTAATCTACGTTACTCAAATACAGGAGAGTTCTGCAAACTGTAAATGTTAAGTCACGGTTTCGAGGGTTTATTCAGTTTCTACTCCGGTGGTTATTTATGAATGAAAGTGGTTTATACGTTGCGATTTCCCCCTCTTGCATATGATACAACGCAATTGCGCTATTTTCCGTGGTTTATAGAGGAGTGTTTTTTTATGAATGAGTGAATTAGAGAAATGACGTCAATGATACGATGACACGCACCCCACCCCTGTGCAGCTTAACTCTTCTGAGTCCAGTTCTTTTATTTTTTTTAACAAATGAATTATTGTTACAGTGTTCGACTTGTCCTTTTTTACCTTTGTTCATACATTATACCTTAGATCGTACATGTTGCACATGGCGTTGAGACTCAGAATGACCGTATGTGGCTGTGTAGCGGCTCCTGTTAAAATCAAGGTAATCTATATACTTCCTTTAGAAAAGGGTTGATCCGTAAATATGTTACTTGCACGAACAACTTCTCATTTAACCACGGTCCTTTTCATTTTTCTTTTAGGTCCTCGGAATCATAGAATCCCAGAACAGGATATTTTCTGAAACGAAATTAACATGTGAATTGAGCGCTAACACTGTACGAATAAAGACGTAAATTGTGAGCTAAATCCTTATTAAATTATTGTTGTTGCCAATTACCGCTGGGTTGTGACAAAATAAACCTTCTTTTTTTAAAAAAACGTAATTTTTATTTTCCACTTTACTTGTTAATAATTGTCTCTCAAAAGCTGCACCTAGTATTAATAGTAGTTTATCTGTAATTTGCACTCCATGCACACCAATCAAAGATCAGCTGTGTTCATCTGTAACGGGACAACGCCTTTACTTAATCAGCAGGCTGTCAAACTAGGACAATAGAAATAGAAAATTGAGATTTTAAATACGATAACGAGATTTAACCTGGAATGAAAACATATACATTCATAATCTGGGTTTCTTTAAAATGCTCCTTTTGTCTTACATTGTCTGGCAATGATGATTTCAGGTAGCTTTACATTTGACGTTTAGCATTTGCGGTTGAAAATTACATAATCGAATAAAACCGAGATTTTGAACCACATCTACAATAAGAGTCTTGTTATAAATTATTAATGTAAAGACGAATTTCCATATTGAAATGTCCACGTGGGTTGTATCTCTAAGTACAAAATGGTGCGGACGCACACTTAGAAATCCATTTTTCATTTAGTCTGGCCTTGTGCGACTAGGGGGAACAGTACATAAAGGATAATGGTATTTGTACCAAAAGTCGTTTAGGTGTTGTGGTTCATCTGGGAGAAATCCAGTTCTGTATGTGTACACGGTTATCAGTACAAACAGAATGTATGTTTCTTATTAAACACGTTTGCCTTTTCTGGCCAATGAGGGAATATCAAGGGGAGTTGCAATTAACTGCGAAGTAGGTTTGAGCTACCGGCGTTGGATAACAGGGATATCGCCTGCGCGATGGGCCCAAGCATTTTTATGAATGAAGGAGAGAGCGCTTGGCAGTCGAGTTTTATAGCTCGAAAGTTGTTGTGTTTAGTGTAACCAGTAGGGGAGTCGGAGTTCTGTGACTGAGGTCTTCCCTTCTGAAGAAATAAACTGCCGATGGATTCAAGCTTGCAAGGCAGCAAACTCAGGAATGCTTCAAAATAATCGCAGAGTGATGAAGGTTAACGGGGAAATGTGGACTTTTATTTTATTTGCGATACGCCATCGAGAAGCAGCATGAATTCGTAGGCTTCTAGTTTTCTACGGAGTGGAGTATTTTTTCGGAGGACCAAACTGAGCTCGTTTTTAAATATATATAAAAACACTTTTTATTTGCAGGAACTATTTAAACGTCTGTTGCCTTTTATTTACGCTCTGGAGGAAATAAGCTTAACATCTACACCCTATTTTTGTAGCGATGCGTAATATGTTGATATACATTGTTGTTTCGGGTTAAAGTAGCGAGTTATTTTCTTTTCCGACAAAGAGTGGGACGACTGTTGATTAACCCAATTCAAAGAACCTGTAGTCGTATACAAAAACAAGGAAGAGTTTCGAAATTGCATCAACGAAAGGAATGGCAGCTCATTTAACAGCAGAAGAGGAGCAGGTAATGTTCGCGTTTTTAACGAAAGTCTTGAAATACATATTTAAAATAACATCGGAACTTCCTAAGCTTTACAGGAAGCTCTTTAGTTTTATTGAGTATTGAAACTTAATGTGCATTTTAAATGTATTTCTTTTCACGTGTATTTGTACACATACGCGGGTACTATGTACATGAGGCTTTAAAAGTTTTAATAAGATGTTAGATGCTGCAACACTGTTTTCACAGCGCCATGTCTCTTTATGACTGGCCTGTTAATGGACGTTTCCGCTTTCTTTATTAAAACGCATTGCGTATTTTACATTTTACTCATTTGATGGGAAGTGCTAATGATCAATTTTGCGAATATGAGTCGTAAAAAGTTGTTTTGGTTCTGACGCACTGTTCTCCGGCCTACAGACCACGAAAACACGAGGCAAGACATTTTGTGATCCCGTTTCATTTTGTATCTGAGACATTGTTGTGTATTGTTCAGGGGAGAAGGGAGCTAAAATGTATCTTCCTTGGTTGAATCAGGGGCTTGCAACTAGGTGTAGATCGTTTGAATTAAACAAAAAACACATATTTTTGGTTTCCTTTTATTTTGTCGCTGCGGGGGTTGGTAGACTTTAGTTTAACTGCTTCGGTGCCAGTCTCCATCTCGTCGGAGAAGCAGTTTTGGGCTGAGGTGGACTAAGGACCACAGCCGGGGATGTGCCTGTTATGTTCAGTGTCATTTCTATGGCTGTGAAACATTAGAAATTACATTACTGGAACCTTAAACAAAGTAGGAATTTACAAACGTGTTCGTTTTTACCTACAAAACCGTGATTTACGTATTAAGATCTACTATTCTTGATTCATTTAAAGACTCAGTTTCAGTCCTGTTTAGTCTAAAACTTTATTTTTACCGCATACGGATCACGATATATGACTGTAGACCCTTGGCTGTTTCCACTAGAAGGAAATTGAGCTAATTTTATTTCTTCTTCCTCTGCTAAAAAATGAATGTAAGCTTAAAGGATTTTTTGTTTAATGGGAAATCGCATTTTCCTGTTTTTATGTATCGATTAAACTAGTGATTTCATTCCATTGACATACTTTTTCACATACGCTTTCAAATAGTAAAAGAGTAAAACAAACAAAATGCTGCACCTGACTAGCTATCCTGCTCTTGAATCATTTATTGCACATGATGCCTTCACGCAGCAAACGAATACCTATTCGTTGTGGTGTGTTTTCAGTATGGTTTTCATCCAAAAGCCATCTAAAAAAAGGATTTCTCATACGACAGTTTTCACTGCATTTTTTTCACGTTATAAACTCTTATTTTGACGATCTTGTATGTGTTCTGTTAGATTGAAGTAAGACAGTGGGGTAGCAAAGCTAATGGTAGGATACTGTAACTCTTTTCTTGCTTTGCTTTTACCTCTCAGCCCTTTGAGAATTTGACCCTTTGAAAGTGTCGTTTTGTTTTTGTGGCCTGCAGTTTTGTTTTCCGGACGATCAGCCTGATGGCACTCTGCATTGTTTGAAGGCACTGCATCCAAACCTTTTCAATAAACATTTTTAAATGTTAATATTGTATTCTGCTTTGCTGCAGGAATGCCAGGCACGTTACTAAAACACTTGGCTTTCATTCAGACAGTCCGTTTCCGAGCTTGCAGCTGTAATCGGCTAACAGCTGGCAGGTTTTTGTCCGTGATACCATTTCGTCCAGCTCCTTAATGTCATTCTTTTCGCCGTTGGGGCTCTAATCCACTTTTCCCATCCCATCGCCTCATCTGGCAAGCAGCTTTATGTGGGTACTTCATTTCCGAGAGTCTGTCTGCAGTGGAAGTGTGTCCGCTGGAAATTCGATCCCAGATTCCCTGTGTCCGGACATCAGGGCCCCTTGGGAACTTCGTCAACACGGGGAACTGCGCACTCAAGCAGCTGTTAAAAGCGTTAAAATGAGCTGTGTGTGTTTGGAGGGGATACAGCCAGCTCCCAGGAAGCAGAGGGTGAATGACGCATTTAACCTTTTATCCAAGCATATTATTGACTTGTGCCAACATTGCAGACAGTGTCCGGAATTTAGCCCAGTCATTCACAAGTTTCCACTCTGAGCTGCTAATGTTTATGTGGTGGAGCCTGGAAAGACAACGAGGCAACAAACTTCCAGATAATAATAGGTTTCTGCAGCCACTCGTTGTTTTAGTAGATGGATTTGTGGAGCGGACTGAATTGTAGGCTTTACACCATGGCTGTTTAATTCCCAATACATTTTTGGTTGGAATAAAGTAGCAAAAAATACAATTGATCCATTGGACAAAGGAATCAAAGTTGTGATGGACTGCAGCTCCATAAAAATTTAAGTTTCAACCCTGAACTCAAAATGCTAAACTCTGAACATCCAGTTGGCAGCCCTGAAGAAAAGAATAAATGTGTTAGCAATTGAATGTTTCTCTTCTTTGTCTCACTGCATGTATCAGTATTGTAAGCAGTTTGTGGAGTTTATGATTCCAATGCCTAGTTGCAATGCCTGCAGGTCAAATTAATGTTAGCTGGCAGTCCATGTGTATTGCTGAATCTTTTACTGCCTGAGCTTGTAAGTAGTATCTGGTTAATGCCATCTTCTACAGTGTTCATGTACTACAAAATTTGTAGGAAGGGTTAATTTTCACTTGCCTCTTTTGAACAGACTTTTCCAAGAAACACCCACAGAACGTGTGTGTGTGTGTGTGGGGTTACAACAATGAGATACTGAGAAAAAATATATCTAGATTAGGTTTTTAGAAGAAATCATGTTTTTTTTTCTGGTAAAATCCTCCAACACCACCCCCCCCCCATTCGTCTCAGTCTTTCCATGTGCAAAAAAAAGTGAATAATACTTGTAGGTGTACATTTGAATGTTGATTATATATTTGCCAGGTGCTTTGCTGAGTACCAGTGCTGTTTTTGGCAATTATGTTGGTAACATTAGTGCTGAGTGGTAGATCTTGCGTGAAAACGGATCATGAGAACCATGTGCTCTATGAACCAGGGGCGCAGGAATGAGAGGCCTTAACAGTTCTGGCAAGAGTGGAAATCTTAAATGTTTTATTGGGCAGATGGCTAATTCTGATGAGGAAAAAGACAAGCTAGTTTTATAAGGCAGTTGACAATTTTTTCAACTATGTTTATTAACTTTCTTCCTTTTATTATAACAGATATACAAAATAGAAAGAGATATAAATAAACAGTAACAAGAAAGGGAAAAAAATAGGAGGGGGGCTCAGCTACACATGGGCTTTTATTGCTACATAAAACATGACCTCAGGAGACAGACATACACATAAAAATTACAAGCAAGCTTATTATATTATGTAAATCCTCTCATCGATATGGCCAAGAGGCACGAACCGAAGTACATCAAGAAAGGTTGACAAAATCCTTTTAAGAATAAAGAATATCCTTTTCTTCAACGTGTATTTTGGACCTTATTTTCGGCTATAAAATGAAGCATTGCTGCTACATTTTCAACTGACAACAAAAGATAACAGGAAATTACTTGTAAGTTGATCTAAGTGTAGATTATAAGAAGCACTTTGTTATATTAGGAGCAGTGGGTGTGGGCATATAAGACATTACAAAGCAAGGTTGTGAATCCTTTTATTGTGAAACATTGTTTTCAGGAAAACAAACGGCACAAAACTAAGGATATCCAAAGTGTTCTCAGTGTAGTGACTCAGGCCAACAACAGTACCAGACACCAGTGTTAGCTCAGGCTAACAACAGTACCAGTAAAAGTGTTACTGTACATCTTAAGAGGCTGTTTTAATGGTCTTTACACTAATTGTAAGTGATTTTGAATTTGAAGACCAGTGTCTGCTCATGAGTTGGAATGTTCATGCCAGTGTTATTAATCCTTAGCACAGATGTTCAAAACATGATTTAATTTTAATAGCACGTCTCAGTAATTCTGTTCCAGACAGCATCTTTGTTGACCTTACAAAGTAAAGGTCTGCGAGTTTCCTATGAATAAAGTATGGGTGGCATACAATTTTGCGTTTGTATTGTTTTTTTTTCTCTTTGGTGGATGTGCTCCCATCATGGAAATGTCCCCATATAAAGACCTGAAATGACCAGGGAAGGTATGAAACGTATGAGGACAGCTAGGTCACTTCTGAAGGGTCTCTTGGCTCCCATTCAGAAAGAAATGGCTGCAGCTGCCAAAGATAACATCCTGCTTTTTTATGACAAGATGGAATGCTGTCAGGTGAGAGTGGATATTTGGAATTTCATTCCTCTGATGGCAACACCCAATTATGAGTTTGGTATCCTATCCTTTTAAGGGAAAAGGAAAAGGGCTCTGGGCAGGCAGTATGGGAAGGCTGTGACCTCTTGTTCCTAGAGATTTCAGGATTGTTTGGTTTTGCTGCAGAGAAGAAAAGTTTTTTTTTTTAAATGCTGTTGCTGACGTTGATGAAGTTTATTTTTATTACCGATGGAATCAAAAAATACAAAACTCCATGTATTGTATCAAGCCCTGTTACTAAAGACTGGTCCATACCATCCACGTCACTGCAAGATTTTGGCTCAACCAGATCTTTAGTTTCTCAGTTAATTGTTAGTTACATGATATTAATTAAGCTGGTTTTACTAAAATGTCACCCTGAATCGGGATGGCGTGTGCATGATAAACTGAGAGGTTTTGTGTTAAAGTGAAACGTTGCCTACTACAGTATTATACTGACATTCTGTAGTTGCCGATCGTGAAGCAACCCCTCAGAAACTGACACTATGCCTCTAACAAGTAGTACCATTCTACATAACTGAAGAAATAAAAACATCAGTATAGTGCAGAATGCATAAATGTTTCATGGTATTATTCTATATTAAGGGTATGTTTTGTCAAGTCCAAAATGAGCATTTTTTAGTTCCTCTTGTTTGCTCATATAGAAGAAGTCATTGGGCACAGCACTGGAGTTTCAGTTCCTCTGTCAGGCCAGGACACTGACACAAGGTTTGCAGAGTTATAGGTGACTCAAGCACAAATGCAGCCATGTTGAGCACACAGACAAAGTGCCTCTTCTAAAATAGGTGGGAAACGAGCATTACCGTAAAGGAACAAAGTGTTTCTATATACCAGTGAGTCATCAAAAAGAAGTCTGTCTGAAGAGGGAGGATTTCCTTCACTTTCTGTAGCAATTTTTGAATACAAGGCACAGCACACTTTTTTTTTTTACAGTGTATGAGGCAATCAGATTTCTTTGCTGCAAGTTGGCACAATTGTGGAATCATTCCAAGACATACTTAAATCATTAAAAAAGACTGGACAAAGGTCTGTGCAGACCATAGAACGGGCATTCTTATACAGCTAACTGTAAATGTTTTGGCCCTCACAGCTTTCTTCTTTAGAAGTTCGGAGTTGCCAGATATCTACCATTGATGAGCCTGAGTTTATTAGATCTTCCAAGCTAACCAGGGTTGGACCTGGGCAGTACTGAGATAGGAGAACTCTAAGGAAAACCAGATTCCTGCTGTAAGTGCTGTTGGTTGCAAATCAACTCCCCAGAATGTCCCACTGACTGGGGACACTATGATACAGGACATGCTGTCCTTCAAATGAGACATCAATGTCGAAATCATAAGCAAAACCTTGCAATAAAGAACCCATTGCACAGGCATGTTAACTCTGATATCGCCCAGTTATTTTCTGCACTTCAGCAGTGGCTGAAGCGGGTCTTTATAGGTAAAAGCCATTTGGGATGAATTGCTTTATATTACAATTGATTATCATATTAACACCCGATTTGAAATTGTCAGTTGTTTAAGATTTGATTTTGCAACCGTATCAGTTTTACCCATACAGGAGAAACCATCTTTTTCAGAAAATAAAGGGGACTTGTTTTTTCGGTATGATTGTACCTCAGTTTCATCTTTTGAGGTGCCCTACAGGAAATTAGTGCCATTTGGAAGAGAATAGCATCTCTTTCCCACGTCACTGTTTTGCAAACACAAAAAAAAGAGCCAAGAGGAACATGGACAGCTAACAACCATGCTATCCTGGCTGTAGAGTGCTCTTAATTTCCTGTAGGGCACAGTGCACCTCGCAGCACATCAAGGGTGCAATCATACTGAAAAAACTTTAACTGAAAAAAGATGGTTTCTGGTAAAATCTGGCAAAAATACTCAGTACTAGAAACATGTATGGACTGTTTTCCCTCTAAATGAGAAATCTAAAAAAGTTTCACACCACTTGCTATTGTCTTCAAACTCCAGTTAATTCTGCAGGTTGGGAAATGGGGTTAAGTAATTAGGAAGTTATCCAAAAGCACCTGTGCTGCAGACATCTCACTGTCAGAAAAGCCTTATTATCTCTGAGGCATTGTTTCCGTTACCATTTTGGATTGTTCACTTTTTCTGTGCTTCAAGGACAAAATGGTGCACATCACCGTGCCTGAGTGTGTGTCAGTCTGCACTTGCCTCTCCCTGTGCTCTTCTCTGAAATCTCCACCATCGTGACCTCTCTGCTCCTCGTGACTTCTCTCAGTCTGCATGCAGATCTGTTTATATATTCAGCAACAGTGTGTTTGTCTATTTATGGTTGTTGATAACGTTGGAGCTTTTGGTTTGTGTACATAGCTTTTAGCATCTGTGTCTTTCCTGCCTGGGGTCTGAACCTGGGAAATCCTGCTGTACAGCAGTTTGACTTCAGAGGTTCTTACTGTCAGTGCTACTATTGCCTATTAACTCGGCCTCTTGGAGAGGGAAAAGTACTGTATGTTGACAGCTAGACCACATGCAGACTGGGACAGTGAGCAACTGAGAGGGGACTGGGGGCTTGACGTTATGTAATCTTCTATGGAAACCTCAAGCCCATCATCTAGGAAACACGGATGGAAAGAAGTTGCTCTTTGATTTGGCGAACAGAGAGATGAAAAGAGTTTATTTAATTTAAGGGAAATTCGTGCAGCAATAGAATGCTGGGAATACTCATGTTCAAGTGAGGGATCTGCAGGATAGACATGCTGGCCAGGTTAACTGTCTCCCTGTGTGTGCAAGCCTTGCAGGACACATGTAGGCTGCAGTTCTGCCTTGTGCCCTGTGTATGTCGGGTTCAGCATTTTTTATATATAACCCTCTGTAGGAGGAAGACATTGATCTTAAATCAAAAAAGAGGATAATTAAAATACTACTACATTATAATTTTACAAGACCTGTAATTTTCCATTTAATTTTACTGATCTAGCAGTTTTTCTTAAAATATGGGGTTATACAGAAAGATCTTTTTTTGCTTTATTATGAACCAGACTTAATTTCATGCAGACTCTGAATTATTTTCAGACAAGGTGTCCGCGGTTGGTGATGTGGAGTTGCTTTGCACAGGATTGATGCCAAATGCATCACGTATCCTTGTCGTGCCCCTTTTAAAAAAAACAAACATCCAAGACGGAAAGAAATAACAGGGTTTTTGTTTCTTCCCATTTTCATTCCTAATACCCTCAGGCTACCAAGCAGTTTCTGGAGGAGATAAACAAATGGACGACGCAGCATGGAGTCTCTCCGCTCTCCTGGAACGTGGCAGTCAAGTTTCTCATGGCCCGCAAGTTTGATGTCCTGCGAGCAATCGATCTCTTTCACAGCTACAGGGTAGGTGTCCGTGTGGAGGAACAGTTGGCTCGGCAGAGTGAGCCTTGCGGCCTCGTCTCCTCACCTCAGAAACTTCACATACATTTTGCCTGTAAAACCTTCATTTCAGTGACTTTCTCTCAGGGGAGTGAACTCTCTTCAGTGTTTCAATTACTTAAAGATCTTCAGCAACGTCTCTGTTGCTGGTAAAAAAAGCAGTAGGTTTTGCTGACTAGAATCGATTGTAAGCAAAATGATGACGTGTAACGGTACGGGCCACATTTTTTCTATACAGCACATTTCTTTGTGCAGATCATGCCTTTAAGCCTGATTTGTCTGACTGGTTTGGTTCAGTGTTGGTGAAGGAGTTCCTGTGTGTGTTTCGAAAATGGCAGTTTACTCATGGTGATTACCCAAAATCGGGACAGCTGTGTCAACACATTTGTCAGTGTTTATATACTGGCGCACCTGGGACTTTTGGCTTTGTCATGAGGTGTCACTCTTTTCTTTCTTCACCAAAACCATAATGTAATTATAGGTGTAGACCAATCAGAGCAAGGGTCACCAGCAAACACATTAGTTTCTACTCCAAATATTTTGTGCGCCTCTTATAATCCTTAACCAATAAACGTGCTGTGTTTCATGTGTGTAAGGACATCTGTTTTCGACAACAGGTAATGTGTTGTGATATATACACTGATTAAGTCACACATAGGACCAGTGTATGATTCTTTTGTTTTTTTTATCACTGTTTGTCTCTCTGCATTTTGTCAAAAATTGTAGTGCTTTCTAGAAGAAGGGCCTCTTCTAGCCTTTGCAGTTGTTCCTGTAGAAAAGTATGTGTACAGGGGTATTCCATGTGCTTCTGATTAAACTGGAACCATAATTTATTGGATTCGTATCCTTTAATTTAGTAAACTTGTAAGCATATAACCTTTGACCCCAACAATCTACAACACTAAATGCCTTTTAAATATGACATTCTGATGTAGAAATGCTTTTCTGCATCTAAATTGTTTTATGCTTTTTTTATTATTTATTATTTAACCAATAGAATTGAACTCCAAAGCATGCAACTGTTAAACTACAATGTAGAAATCTACATTAAGATAATTTTTGAGTGATCAGTATGAAACTTGCTTTACATTCCAGTAGCTGGTCCTAAGGAATAACTTGCACAATGAAAAATACTTAGATACTGTGTATATGTGTGTGTATGTGTATATATAGACGTTCCATTCAAAACTGTTCAGGCCTGCACATTCAGCTTGAATGTTCTTGAATTTATGCCACATTAATTCAGATTAGGAAAGCTGTTGCTGCTGCTTGTCATTCATCAGTCTTTAGTCCATTGACTTCTGTGCACATACCTTCAGTATGATAACATACCTACAGCCTTCCTTTCCCACAGGTGTGCTCCTCTGGAGAATCGTGATGAAATGGTACGCACTCATCTCTGCTGTCAGGACCTTTGGGTCACGCGGTCTATTTTCCGATCACTTTTTGTGACGCGTTCTTGGAGGCTCTGATTCGACCAGTCTGCACAGAGATGGATATTTACAGACCTGCAGCTTGATTTGACGTTCCTGGGTGTCTTGTCTGCTTACAGGAAACCCGTCTGAAGGAGGGGATAGTGAAGTTGAAGCCCCTGGAGGAGCCACTGAAATCGGAGTTACTGAGTGGGAAATTCACTGTACTTGTAAGTGGGCTCCTGACACCGAAAATCTGCCATTTTGATACATGGCTATACAGAACATAGGAGAAGATGAGTATATCAGAGCACATATCTTTTTACACAGAAGATACATCTATGGTGGTCGGAGGAATGGACTATAGCTTTAAGTAATTATGAAGAAAATTCTGATATGGACAATAATTCTGCAAAGAGCAAAAACAGCATATGAATAACTGAATAACAGTGAACCATATTGTAACGCTCTTGGGTTCACGTGGGTATGCGCCCTCGCCTCTGCCTCCTCGGGTCGGCCCCCCACCGTCAGGGACTCGAACCCGGGCCTCTGGCATCACTCAACAGGGACCCAGCCAGTTGAGCCAAAGGGAAATCTCCCTTCAGCCCGGCGGCTGCGGTCCCTGCTGTTCACAGGGAAGGGCGGTGACGTCACCGCGCTGGTAAGCCGGCTCTCTCTACCAGTGGTGGCTGTGTGCGTTACAATATTAAAGAACAATCAAAACATAATGCAGGTTCTCACAGCTCATCACTTCCTGTACAAGACGCATTCGATGTTGCGTGTGTGTGTGTGGGGGGGGAAAAGGATTGCCTTTGAACCCTGTGCACAGTGCAAAGTGAGAAAGGCTGTATCACTCTTACAGGGTGCGTCTTCAGTCATATAGAAAACCTCTGATTCCAGTGTTACAAAACCTAATTCAGAAAATGATAGGGAAATCCAATTTGTAATCAAATACATCTAGGAACATCCAGCACTGCTTTATAGTTTGTGCTTGAACTGCAATCAAATATTGTGCTCAAATGCTTGCCTAGAACCTAGAATCCTTGGGCCTAGAACTTACAGGCTTGTTATGGTCATAGATGACCTTGGCAGCAACCAGCACTAAGATCTGAAAGGGCTGGGAGTGTTATAGTGTTTCCAGCTTTACACCCTTGCAGGGAGAAGAATCATGTGCCTATTAGCATGACCTTAAGAATACAGAGCCCTGCCCTGAATAGTGCAGCAGTATTTATTGAACACCCATTGAAATATTCAATGATCACTTCGATAGAGGTCAATATCCTTGTAAAATCATTTGTTGGTCATAGGAAGCATATTCCCTGTGTTTTGTACTTGCTAGAATATTTGGTATTTGCAATTTCAGACAAGGTCAGAGCAGGGATAACTAGTTCACGTGTCTGTATCAGTGGCGTAAGTTCCTGAGCACGTTTGAGAGGGGCATGAAGACTAACTTTTTGCTATAGGTTCATGCAGTCTTTATAAAATGGGTTAATCTTAATCTTATATTTCAACACCCGAGTTTCATTTGTGTTCTGTTTATAATAACCTATTTAGAAATGCAATTATTTCCATTCCAAAGGATCCAATGTCACATGTACTGTAGGAGGGGACCCACTTCGTCCTCCACTGAAGTGCTGTGCCTATCTAGGTGATGTGTGGCAGCCAATAAGTGCCTGTAGCCCCACGCAACAGCAGGTCAGGTGGAGCTGTAGGCAGTTTCTAGAGGCGTGTCAAGGCTCTGGACTTATAGCTAGAAGGTTGTGGGTTCAATTGCTGGTTTGGGCACTACTGTTGTGCCCTTAAGCAAAGTACTTCACTTACATTGATCCTATATGGAATTAATTCCGATATAAGTGGCTTTGGGTGAAAGTGCCTGTCAAATAAACTAATAATGAACTAGAATGAATTTAAAAAATGGCTTCCTCGGCTGAATTAATGTTAAGATGTTTTATGTATTGTGTTTTTTTCATACCAAGTTGGTGTCATTTTGTCAAGCATGTAATGAAACTCTTATATAAAGACAGTAATAAGTGAATCTCAATACTACAGCGAAAAGTACCAATAAAAGCCTCTTTCTCAGCCTTCCCAAAGAATTCCCACCAAGACTGTATGTCTTTAAGTGGACAGCTCTGGCCATTTTACTGTTGGAAAGCATTTTTACTGCACTTTTAAGTTATTTAACAGCATGGGACTTAATGAAAATTATACAACTGTGCAAGCTGTTTTTAGATTCTATTTTAAAGGCTTATCATATGATGGCACACGTGAAACTGACAGATCTGTGTTGACTATTTTTGTTTGCAATTTTGTGCAAAACAACATGCGTTTAAGCTGTTTTTTTCTGAGAAGTACAATGTGCATTACATATAGTTTGATTTATATCAGTAAGCACTATGTATCTTTGACCGTATTTGTATATTGAATATATATTGAAATATGCTCCTTCATTTTTATTTTTGTTACTTTTCAGTCAGGCACTAAGACTCATGTACTTATGAAGCCTTACTCTTTACATGACCAGATTTCCTGTCACGATAGTCTGAAAAACACGGGACCGGTTAGTCTTATTTCAAGCATACTATGTTTCCAGTCCTTTCTGTTCTTTGATAATAAATGCAACAACCTCCCGCCTGAAATCAGCAGAACTGTCTCGCCGCTCTGCGTAATAGTGAGCGCTTTCTGCCCTCTTGTGGAGGAAAGTGGAATAACACCTTACTTCACCGCAGATTTGGGTTACGGTTATGCTGTGCACAGAAACATACTTCTATTGCATGAGTAGCAATATATGGAATACAAAGTCGTCTGTCAGTGGGCAAGTCCACATCGAATAAGCCAGCTGGGTAATGTAAAAAGATTCAAGGAATGGGCGACTTCTTTTATTTAAAAAAAAAATCTGGTCACCAGAGTCCCATGATTACACACTGGGTCATGTCATCAGTTGGGTACCCTTCCCAGTTCTTGAGCGTTATTTTAACGAGTCGCCTCCTCCCGCGTGGTAACAGCTGCTGTGCTCCGCTCTCTCCCTTGTCCTCCTCTCAGGGTGTCCGCGACCCCTCCGGTGCCTCCATCGCCCTCTTCACTGCCAAGCTGCACCATCCGAACAAGACGGGGCACCATGTGGTGCTGCAGGCCCTGTTCTACCTGCTGGACCGCGCCGTGGAGAGGTGAGGGCCCCGGGCCCACGCGGCGCCTGGTTTCCCCTGAGGCGCTGGAGGCACAGTGCCTGGGGCCTGCAAAGGAGGGAAACACTAGTGACTCACGAAAAAAAGAGCTGAAACTACATGCTTGCGATCGACTCTAGGTGCTCCAGATCAATAATCATGCGCTCTCTAGCGGCTCTTCCAGAAACTGGACGTACTGAAGCGGCGGTCGCTCGACTCGCTCCGTCAATCAGGTGGTTTAGCATTAGAACAGTTTAAAGTGCAGCATGTCCATCAATGTCATTCAAGTGTCGTTCAACCCTCTTTTTGCACATTTCGGAGTGAAAGTGCCTAGGGCCTACGAACACCAGAACCCGGGCCTGGCCTCACAGCTGGAGAGAACTCCCTAGCTTCTTGCCTCAGAATCGATTGCACCTGGGCAGGATCCTTCAAGTGTTCCTCGGCACGTCGGATTACAGCACAGCCTTCAATAAGGCTTTTTTAAAATGCATTATGTTAAAAAAAACACATAAAAGTATGTACACATGAAGAATTACTAATCTACATGAAACAACACTTTATATAATGACGATCAGTTCATTTTTAACAATGATGGCGTTTTGTTTGTTTGACAACCGCAGTCGTGCTTTCTGGCACGCTGTGTGGGAAGCCTCTTATTTGCCCACAGCTACTACTTGTTAGTCATTCTGCTGATACCTGCTCATTACGGCTCGGCCTGGTTGCATCGGTAATATTTACACTGGATTCCTTGCTTTTCCTCTGTTCTCTTCCTCAGCTTCGAAACCCAGAGGAATGGTCTGGTGTTCATCTACGACATGGCTGGGTCCAACTACAACAACTTTGAGCTGGACCTCAGCAAAAAGATCCTCAACTTGCTGAAGGTGAGAGAGCCTATACAGTTGGCTACCTTTTGCTTTTGTCCCAGGCCATGCCTTCGTGTGAACGGAACCTTTAATGTGTGTTGGAAGAAGTGTCAGCATGCTAAAGCGAAACCCTGGGCTCCTGCAAAGCCCTAGCTCTGGCCGATGAGTACCTAGCCTGTTCTCGGTGCTTGTGTGTGAAAGATACTGTCTATCGGCTCTCTCCTGTTTTGTTTTACACAGGGGGCTTTTCCAGCCCGGCTGAAGAAGGTGTTCATTGTGGGAGCGCCGGTGTGGTTCCGTGTGCCTTTCAACCTGCTGAGCCTGCTGCTGAAAGAGAAGCTCCGAGAGAGGGTGAGTAGGCGGAACTTTTTATCATCCGGTAAAATATCCCCATGATCGATCGTATAACTGCTGTCTTAATGAAAATTCGGGCGTCAGGCTGTACTGAGAGAAGAATCTTGTGAGCGGTGTGTTGTCTTGGTATGTGGCGACTTGACTGCCCAAATACTCTTTAATATTTATGAGGAGTTTCCTTCTTGTGCAGACTGAAGTGCTGCAGTCACACAGATAGTTTAGTAACTGTGTGGTATGCTCAAATGTACAAGTTTTGTTCTTTTAATGCCTAAAATTGAAGTTCCTAAATTATTTTTAAAAACTGTCTTACCAGTTGACTGTAATAATACAGGTAGTATTCTATGGGAGAGGAAAAGGTAAAGGTTAATTCCATAAATTAACATTTAAAGAAAGATAAACGAAAGGAGGCACAATGTTTTGGCTCAGGATACTTGAAGAAGGCTCCACAGCCAAAACATTGTGTCTCTTTTCTTCTCCTTTCAGAATGGAATAAACCTTTACCTGTTCCTTTGCAGGCTATGCATGCTGACATAGCTCCCTGCTCGAACTTATTCCATGGGAGAGCTGAGCCACTCCCTCTTTACAACTGAAATATAACGGCACTGCGAGTCAGTCAGAGCTGCTGTCTTTGCCAGGCTTCCAGGAGGTGTGAAGTGACAGTCTGTTCACACATTGCTAATGACCAGGAACATCAGAATTTTCAGCCATTTATCATGAACCTACAGAACAAAACTAACAAGTGCTTCATTTAACAAAGTCCGTGCCTGTGTAAACATTATACTGTGAAGGATAATTGTACCTCTTCCAGTTTTGTAGCGTTATGAACATTGCACATATTAACGCATTGTAACCGAGATGAAGATCCATTTTAGTTTCCTTCTAGTGTTTAACTTGGGTACATTAGGTCTAAAATTAATATACAGCAGTTATAAGGAACTGTAACTTTTCTCATTTTTTAAAATGATTTCAAGGGTGTCTTTTTATTGGACATCTGAGTTTTCACTGTTGGTGATCAGTTGTGTGTCAATAAGTTATTTGTGTCCTCTATCCTCAAAACACAAGCAGTATAAACAGTAAAACCTCGGTATGTGTGAGGGTTACATACCTTGAAGTCTCCACAAATGGTGAATTCGCAAGCATAAGACATTAAACAAATTAATCGTATGGATCTGTGGCCTGCAAAATTATACATTTCTGTAGTAATTTTAGTTTTAACTGTTAACTATTTCAGAACTAGCCTTGCTAATTATTGGAAGAATCTTTAATGAAATTAGTACTGGAAACTTAAAGCAGTTCTTCACCTTTTACTTCACATATGCATACAAATATAATCACTGTTATGAAATAATAACTTACCCTGTATTAGAGTTTGTTTTTTTCATTCTTCATAAAATGCGGAGTCTTTACTTTTTATATTGTTTTTATTACTCTTATAATGTTGCACTACTGTACTGTAATAACGTTTATTGCAGCACCGTTATAACGGACAAAGTAGATGGCTCCCTTTACACTCAGCCAGCTCACTCCTGCTCTTGTGATTTGTCTGATTTATTTCTTCTACCTTTTTGTTTTTAACCTTTTCCATGTGACATTGAAGAACTGAGACGGGGGTAACAAAAAAAAAAATGTGGTCCCCTAATTTATTTGAAGTACTGAGTTGCATTCGAGCATTACTCTGATAACAGGTGATGCTTGGATCGACTCGGTACACAATGCACATTGCACCAGTGCCTTCCTGGAAACAGAGTAAAGCGGAACCCATGATGCACTGCTGCCTAAACATGCTAACATGTTAACCAAGCTGTGCCTTGGCTTCAGAGACTGATGCCAAGCGATCTGCAAGATGAAGCTGTGGAAGTTAACATGTTGTTAACATGGTGAAAATGTGTTTACTCTCCTACTGCTCTGCCTGCAAACAGGCGATTGTGGTCCACAGATGTGGGGAGAAAAAACAAGTGGTCACTGAAAACATTTTGCACAAATGGGTGAAACTGTGCGTGTGGAACTCGCAAATGTTGAGGTTTTGCTAAGTGATGGCCTGGTCTGTGCAGGTGCAGATGGTGAAGATGACAGACCTGCGACAGCACCTTCCCCGGGACTGTCTCCCAGAGCATCTTGGGGGGCTGCTGGCCCTGGACCCCCCTGGCTGGAACCGGCAGCTGCTTGCTGGGCAGAACGGCTGTGTGGACCCCGTGGACGAGCTGGTGGCTCTGCCCCTGGCGCCGGCCCGTGATGATGCCTCCATCCACACCCCGGGCCTGGAGTCCATGAGCGTGCAGGAGCTGGTTCAGCACCTGGGCATGGTGCAGCGAGCGGGCATCTACGAGGAGTATGATGAGATCCGCCGAGAGGCCCCTGCTGGCACCTTCCAGTGCGCCCTGTGAGTCAACATGGCCATGCGTCCTGCTCGCTCCAAACTCCAAAACCAGGGCTTCTCCGAGCGCTGGGATGAATCAGGATTCGTTAGGAGATGTTAGTCCCTCTATTTCTTCATCTCCGTTTACCTCTTCTTTCCCCAGAACTCTGTGTAACCAGGACAAGAACCGTTATGGTGATGTCCTCTGTCTGGATCAGACTAGAGTTCGGCTCAAAACGGGAAGAAATGAGGTAGGAATTTCCTGACCATCAGTACACACCTATTGGCTTCAAGGCAGATGACAACAGGATTTAACTGGGACTAAACACTCAATTTGAAATTGACTCCTGATCAACATAGTCAATGCCAGAACAAAGCAGGATTAGATCTTGTCTTTATTCAAGACTTATCATTCAGAGGCATAAGGTTTTGGTGTGTTTTTGTCAGTATTCCTTTTAATTTCTTTTTGATTTATATACAAAGAGTGAATGAGATTAGGCTTTTTTTTCCACTTGCGTCCATTTGTGCTTTTATTATTCAACAGTTCTGAATTCCCTTGATTCTCGGTGTCATTGCTTATGTAAACTCCTTTATCCCTGATTTATGATTCAGTGTTGCTTATAATACTATAGGGGAAGATATCTTATGATTCAAGCTCTAATTCAACCAAAGTTGATTAAAAACATGAATAAAACATTAATATAAAACAACTTTTCTTTTTCTTCTTGATCATCCTTGAGTTTGCCTTTTACGGAATTTCTTCTTGATGTCCAGTAGTGCACTGCAACAAAAAGACAAACATAAATACGTTGTATACTATTGATTGTAGAAATGTGATCATATGACCTAGTGCATTTCTAACATGTTTATTCCTACAGAAATCCGACTATATAAATGCCAGCTTCATGGATGGATACAAACAGAAAAATGCCTATATTGGCACTCAAGGTAGAGGAACTACTTCAATATTTTTATGATGCCACATGCACCGTATCTGAACAGTAGGTAGGTTGCCTGAGGTAACTAAACTCTCTGTCTGCAGGGCCCATGCAGAATACCTACCGGGATTTCTGGAGGATGATTTGGGAGCAAAATGTGTTAGTCATTGTCATGACTACCAGGTACTGGGATTTTGACTGTCAGTGTTTTATTGTGTTACATCACATTTTAGTTTGGGTTGTGTGAATTCAGGCATCCATACTCTTAAGTTTTGCATGCTACCCACTGAAAAAGTTGCTTATATAATGCAGATCATATATTCTTAAACACAGTGTATTAGCTCTCTGTTGGGCTCATTTGCTCTTGTATATGAAAAGCAATCTGATACTTTAATTTTTATATCGAAGCTACACCTTTCTAAGAGCTCAGTCCAGTTTTCAAAAGACTTTTTGTGGGGCAGTTCCAGTCATTGTAGATCGAGTTTAAGATTAGAATTCCCCTCAGGAGGTCACTTATCGGCAAAAGGCTACTGATCTTGGCTGCTGACTTAAGAAGAGAAAATTGACAGTGAAGTGCCTCATTTGGTATGGGCGAAGAGGCACAGACACCGGTGAGCTCTGTCTCATTCTAGTGGCCAATTAAGGTTTAGTGAGTAAAAAGAGTATCTGCTTGGGGGATAGGATTAAGGGACTGTAATCGTCTTTTAATCTCCTCTGTTTATTGAAGTGGCCTTTCTCAATCACAGACAAAATGAGATCTTTTTTTTTAAGAAGGGTTCTTCATCGGTAGGAAAATGCTGGACTTTGATATTCTGCCTGCAGGACAGATGAAGGGGGGAGAAAGAAGTGTGGTCAGTACTGGCCATTGGAGAGAGGTGGGCAGGAGGTGTATGGTCACATTGCGGTTGTCAATCAGAGAGTGGACAGTATGCCCCACTTCAACCAGACCACCTTGGAACTCCACAACACTGAGGTGAGAGGGGTGGGAGACTAGGATACTTTATATATATGTATATAAATATATTAAGACTAATCTGAGGTCTGTCTAATATCTAAAGCATGCACATGTCTTTCCATTGTAAAGAATATTGAATAACTCAATGGATGAGTATAGTAATGGTAGATGAAACCTATGACCTATAGTCATTGCAGAACCTTGTTCTTCCTACCTTTGTGTGTTCTGATATTAATATATTCAAGATTGTTAATTCACTGAAAGATACTCGGCAATCAAAAAGTTGCTTTCTGGTCCATTTCTGTTCGCTTCCCTAATGAAGCTGTGTAAACTGTGATGGGTCTTACTGATTGTGTAGGATCATATAAGCAGCAGTTGCAGCAGGAAAATCACCTATCAAATGGAAGTATAAGAACTTCATGAAAACCTTGATGGCAGGAGAATGTCTAGTGTGTTAATTAAAGAATGGGATTTAGCCGATACATGTCCGTTTCCAAGATCCCAGATGGAATGCAAATTGCAGGGAATAAAATCCCCCATCAAGCAGAACTTGAATTCCTCACAATAAATTAAGTGACACAACTCTCATCCATCTTGATGAAATAATACGTACATGTGTAGGTATACCTACTTTGTCATTTGATATCACCCCAGACCCTGACAGTCATTGCTTCATAGTTTTTCTTGCCAGTGTGCCAGATGAGACTAAGTGATTTTTTTTAATTTCCCCCTCAGACCTGTGAACAGCGACAGGTGGCTCACTTCCAGTACCTGAGCTGGCCAGACTACGGGGTACCGACCTCTGCCGTTACACTGATTGACTTCCTGGGCGTAGTCAAGAGGCAGCAGCGGCAGGCGGTCGTGGCCCTGGGCTCTCGATGGAAGGGCCACCAGGGTGGACCCCCAGTGGTCGTCCATTGCAGTGCCGGCATCGGCAGAACAGGTGGGTACTGCTTACTCTTCCTTATAAAAAAAAAAACACAACATGCATGTAGTAAATTCTGACTTCTTTCATTTTCTCCTTGGATTCAGTTATGCTTTTTAATTTTGTTGTGTGTAAGCTCAGATTCACCTGACAGACCTATATCCACCTGCATTAATAGTGTTACCTCCATCGTCAGGTACTCTTTGCGCCCTGGACATCTGTCTCTCCCAGTTGCAAGACGTTGGCACTCTGAACATCTACCAGACAGTGCGCAGAATGAGAACGCAGCGCGCCTTCAGCATTCAGACCCCTGACCAGTATTACTTCTGCTACACTGCCATCCTGGAGTATGCCCAGAAGCAGGGGATCCTCACGGTTAATAAGTAAGGCCCCATGACATCACTCCACAAGCCTCAGTCTGTCGTGGGACACGGAAGCTGCCAGGACTGACCCAATCACTCCCTTCTCTGGTAGAACCACTAGTTGTGAAGGTCCACACAGACCAGTTGGAATCAGCAATATGTGGAAGGCACCACAGGATACGCAAGCAGGCTGCGCTGCCCAGGAATTGAACTTTGTTGTGCCATGGCTTTTCCTGTAGGTGGGCATGGAGCTCATCAGACACTCCAGCTCATGTGCTTCTTTGTGCGCTGTTGTAAGTTGTGTACATTCAGATGAGTTGTGGGAAGTATCGTTCTGATGTTCAGTTTATAGTAAATGATTGGATGGTTACAGTTGAGCACAGTCTGAGTGAGGCTTCATATCAAGCAGCAACCTCAAACGCGCCTTTTAAAATTAGTTTCCGGTTATTTAAAAAAAATATGCCTACCCAATTTGGAATCGTCAGTTGAATCCTGGTCTCAGTTTATAGTGCCAACCACTGTACCTCTAAAGGGAGGATCGGGAAGTGTGGAAAGGTCTTCCAGACCACACACATACTGTACATGAGACATTCGTCTTCTGTCAGGCTGTAAGCTCTGCTTTGGCATGCAGGAGGTTCGGCGCAGATCGGAAGATATCACTGCTAACCTGCGAGACCCAGAGAAGGCAGTAGGTTCCACTGGTTTGCTTGGTACCAAGGGAGACCAGGCTGACTTATCCCAGCTCTGTCCCTACTGTGCTAAAACTTGGGGAAACCTTTTCATAGTCAGCTGGTGACTTGACCCAGGTGTAAACTTGCTCCATCTAGATCATAGATCCCAGCCTGCCACTGGAGCAAGCACAGTTTCCTTTTATCAGCCACTGATTCTAGATCTTAAATTAAAGCTGTAAATGCTTTTTGTGAATTGCAACTTAAGAGGCAGAGACTGGAATTCAATAATCAGTTCAAACTTAAATCTTCATCATGTATATGCGTGAGATTAAAAAAAAAGTTTGTTTCAATAACACTATTTATTGAAAGATATCCTGTACAGTACATCATTCAAGACATCAATAATTACAATTTACATTTTATTTGCTTTTGTAATCAAAGGTTTGGAAAATAATATTAAATGTACATCACTCAGACTTAATATCTTTATAGCTTCAAACTCCATGGGTCATCTTTTCTACTGCTTGTTGAAACTGAAGCCACTGAAATTAAAAATGACTGGACTGAGTAGTCAAGTTGCTGTTCTTCTTTGGGATTCCAGTTTCTTGCTGTTGGCCAAGATGTTAGAGTGGTCAGAGGGTCTCATTGTGTGGGGGATGCCTCCTGGATTTTATTGCTTATATTTTTTTAAATGACAAAGACGAACCAATGATTCAACATTGGACTTCAAATGGATCTAATGCTCGAGCAGAGATGCACATCTCCTCATGACTGCTTAGCTGAGGCCCCTTTTTACTACCTGTAACTCAGTTAACTTCTTCTGGATGTATAGTTGTCACTGTCTAGCTAAAATGTTATATATTGTCCATCAATGTAAATTTACTCAACTTTAAGGTCATTTACAGACACTTTTTTTCAATTATGGCACGTATCTGCAAATTTTGTTCTAATCCACTATTCAATCATAACTTATGCCTTCCTTAAAGAGTGATTGCAGAGCAGTCGTACTCAATTTTATCAAAAGCACCCAAATCTGAATGTGAAATGATTTAGGTTTGAGGTTTCAGGATTCGCATAGTAGTGGCAAAGTTCAAGAAAGGAAGATCTCTGTAAAATTTTAATTTTATATGCTTTTAAAGATCCTGGTTAAAGTGCTTCAGCTAATGTTTCCAGTCTGGACATGATCATAAAACCCCTTAATATAACTTGAAATATAAGTTTTTGCTTTCAGTTTATCAAGCTTCAAGAGAATTTTTTTTCCTCTTGTTGCTTTCTAGTTATCACTAGTGGAGCTCGATTATAAATTTAAGTGCTTTATATTAGGTCAGCTTAGTTCTGTAACAAGTGCAGTAAAGCATGTGGAGTTTTTTTGGAGAGCATTAGAGGCGGGTGGTGCTTGGGGAATCTGCCTCTTCCTTGCAGTCCCTGCCAGGGAAACCCTGTCTCATAAAGACGCAAGCACCTCGAGCCTTGCTGTTTGAATACACAGACACTGCAGGAGGAAGAACAAGAACTCTTCTTTGTCATCTCTGTTCACTCTCCCTCACAGCTCAGCAGGGTTTGTGTTGAAGGTAGACTTGCGTTCTCTGAAGCATATAAAGAAATAATGGGAACTTGGACACTCCATCATTGATTTTAGCCATGCAATTGAAGCAGTAAAAAACTGTGTGCTGCTTATTTAAAGGCTGACTCTTTCATAATGAATTAAAGCTAAAATGGTAATTTGAAGACACTTCTTTAAAAAAAAGTACTGTTTTGTCACATCAGCCAAGGAAATGTGATGTAAAACACGAGTGTAAATGAGGCAATGTTTATTTTCCTGCTAGAGCAGTGGGAGATGAATTACAGGTCATAGGAAGACAGTGGCTGTAGTTTCACAAGCAGAGGGGTGATCTGAATTTGTAGGAGTGGTAGTTACAGGTTTTAGCCATATGCTTAAGTCACAATTTAATAGTTTAGATGAAATATTGCTCACAACAGGCATACAATCATGATATATTCTATTGTGGAACGTGTTGACATTATTAGCACTGATAGTGGCTAATGTACTTAAATAATACTGACCTACATAGGAAGTATTGTATTTGTGTTATTACCATACATCAAAATTAATACTTACATATTTAGTAACAGATTCTGGAAGTGCTATTGATTTATCTTCATTAGCTTTCAAAAGCTTTTTAAGTGATGAAAATAATCTCATCTCTTAATGCTGTAAGATGCTTCTTTGGTACCCTGCTAATATGCTGCTTAATAGGAAGCCATACTCTACTTTAATTCCTACAATCCAACTGGCATCAGCTATGCTGTATTTGGTTTTTCCCCAAAGAGAATTATTTAAACTGGAATTGGAATAGCATTCATATGTTTAAAGTGTCATGCAAAACAATATCCTTGCCACAGTGTCTCTCAACAGCATTTGGCACTATGACTGCTGTATAGTGTCTCTAGTACTGTTAGTCTCCTATTGCAAGCCTGATTATGTGCATTAAGTGTGCACTTCTTTGACAGTTTCTACAAGAATTCTGCAGGTGTCCCCCCTCCCCCCACCTAAAAAGGTAAACAGTTTTCACTTTAACTGGTTCCAATTACCTACGACAGAGTGTGCAATCCCGTTTTATGCCCTGTACTTCCAAGATAGGCACCGAGCTGCCATGATCCTTACCAGGAATTAGCAGTTTTCCGATAGTGGATCGGTGCCACTAATTATGCCCTCAATCAAGCCAGTTCTTTACAGACAGAATTCACAACTCGCAGAACAAACAGAATGTGTGCCGGTGACACAGTATAGCTGGTATAGTGTCATATTCTTCTGTGAGACGTCAGTAGGCAGACACTGCCTCTTTGACACTCAATGATCTGAAGTTCTGTCCCCAATAATTCTGAGTATGATTAGACACCCAGACCCTAGGAGCTCTGAATGGACTGTAGATGCTTGAGGTTCACTCATAGTGCAGTGTTGTCCTCACTGTATGTATTCTGGTAGCCTTGTAACATGATTCAAGATTGTTTTCCATTGCAGTAGGCTTTTGAATTTCTGAATTGACCATTGCTCTGTTTTGTGGTAAAAGGGATCATTGTAATTTTTTTTTTCTTGAAATGGAAGCTAAGGACAACTGCACACCGCACAACCCCGTACAGCAGTAGCCCAGTCTTCAGAGTGCAATACTGTTTGCAAACAGGCTGTTCAAGCACTTCCGCACAGACATTCCCGCCTTGCTTTTCTTAATATCTGTTTTTCCAAGTGCTCTTTAAGCAATAATGTAACTAATAATGTGTAATGAGCCTCGTCTTACTGGAGGAAAGGCAATCCAGTTTAAGACGCTGGCAAAGCCCAGCCTCCTCCCCAGCAATGCAGATGAAGCAGTGTGCCTGAAGAGGCCAGCAGAGGTGCAGCTGTGGGCTTCTCCAGGAGGCCTTGTGTGACGCACTGGCTGTTCAGTAGTTTTATGTGGCCATGTGTTCCAAAACTCAGCTGCCATTGCTTTGCAAGGATCGTCTGTACAAGTGTAAAACTGGGAACCTTTATATAAAGTAACTGTCTAGTATTAATGCTTCTTCATTGTTTTACTATTGAATTCATATTGAATGGTTATAGTAAGCATCTCTTAAAGACTCATTCTCTATGTACTTGGTAGTCTTTTATCTCTGTTTCTCCATTGACAGGCACTTACTGTGACCCAATTTTTCATTACATTTTCATTTTGTATTCATTTAATGTTATTCAAACCTTTTTGGATAAGATTTTATAATTATATTTTAGTTACCTTCTAACACATTAAAATGTTCTAATAGCATAGATGTTTTACAGAACTTTAAAGTACTACATATATTTTTCAAAATGCTAGGCTCTGCTTGTAAACCCTTAAGTTCTAAGATAGTTTTGGTTTTGAGACCTTGGTTTATTTAATTAAACCTCAAAGAGGTAGAGTTAAACCAAACTTTCAAAAGATTCTAAAGCGAAGTAATTTGTAAAAAACATTTAATAAATGTTTTTTATTATTAATTTTATGCCCCCTTTATTAAGCATTAAAATATATGAAATTTAAAAGATCCCCTAGTAAGTCACTTTCATTGTAGCTTGTGTTGCACAAATGAAGCAGACAGTGCTGTACAATGAGCTGAGTTAGTTAGGTACTAAGTATTGTGTGACTTCTTACATGCAGAATCCAGCCAAGTATACCCAAATACTCTGAGCTTGTAGTTATTTTCACCATATTACATTTAATTAATTCCAATCTTTAACATTTAATTCCAATGTTTCTCAAATTTGATATGATTGTTTATTCTCTTACTCTATATATAGTGCCTTTACCATCCCTGTATTTTCATTCTCACTTGAAATACAACTACTCAGTATTTACATATGAAATGCTAAGCTGTACAAAGGGGCCTGAATGCAATGTAAGTATGCATTTTAAGAGTTCCCTTAAAGGGGTTTTAAATCCTGTGGCATTGCTCCATGACTCTGTTTAAGGTTGTTAGGCAATTTACAGGACTCCCCTGCAAATTCAGCACATCAAGTCGCAGTAAAACTGTGCACAAAAGGAATTCTATATAATAATTTTACTTTTAACTTAATATTCATTACATATAATATTTGTTTGAGACATCTTCTTTAAACTGTTTTAAAGCCAAAAAATGTTTCTAATGGGCTTTACTTTATATTGACCACTTTTGAAGTAATCAATCTATTATTAGACCTTCACGCAAATGTGTTCAAGTACAGGGTAGCCTTAAATAACTTTTTCAGATATCTCAGCCCTGTGAAGTACAATACCCATTAGTGTATTTTGTAATCTTGTGTATTTTGTAAGATTTTTTGTTAAAGCACAGATTTATAGTTTAGGATAGGGTTTCTGTAACTTTGTCTCCTATAGAGAACAAATCAAAATGCTCACTCTTCCCAAGCAGTGCCAACTGAACCTGGAACAATGGGTCATCCCTGTTTGAATCGAGAAGAGCCACTGGACATGTTTTTTGAAAGACTGCATGGGAAGCACAAATTGAAATTCCCAGAAAACCTGTTTGTCGATGTATAACCCCCCCATGTTGATACTGCTGTACACAAATGGATTGTGGTTCGTTGTCAAGTGTTTTGTAAGTGTGCCTGCAAGACATTGTTCCCTTTCAGAATGGAAACTGACAGCCTAATTTTACGAGAGTGGGGACAAAGGGGTAGTTTCCAAAAGGAATAATTTGCTTTAAACCTTTAAACCTACATTAAGCTAATTCTGTAACCATTCAAGCTTTAAAAGGAGTTGCATCTTTGGGTTTAACATAGGTTTTCAAACAAGTTTAAATATGCATTATCACTAATAGGTCTTGGGGATCTGTATAACTCAGCTGTCCAGAGCTCAGTTTGAACGATCGCAGAACATGTTCTTTATCCACTACTGTTGTTTAGCGATAGGATTCACACCCCCAGCGATCTTCAGGAGCACCTCAATCACTCAGCTGAGAAATTTAGCCACATTAAAAGAAACTAGGTTTCAGCAAACCAATGCAAAAGGATTCTGCAACCAGTGTTTATTGAAACCTGGTTTCTGAAAGAGATGAGGCCTACATAGTCATATACCAAGACTGGCATCTCATCAATAACTGAACCTAAACAAGCACCTTTTTTTTACATGACTTCATGTACCCCTGTCAAAGAAGCACTTTAGGAACAGCCCAACAGGATTCCTAAAACCTCCCGATAGCTCCTGTGAGTGGGCCAATGAGACAAAGGGACATTTCGCCTTCACCCAAACATTACTCGATTGAGTCAGTTGAAAACTGGGACCATCTGAAGATGGGAGTTTTGTCTGACGTTGTATATCTTTACACACTTCAAACGTTCCTTTATACATTTTACAGGGCAAATAGCCCTTTTTAGCTTGTGGATTTTGTGCTGTTCATTCTTTGCAACAGAAATTGAGAGATGCAATGCAGAACAAAACCTGGTACCTCATTTTGCCGTCTTGCTATCTATCCATCAGATGTGTCTACAGACATACTGTACATAAACCCCAGCTCGAAGACTTCTGACATTCGAACGGCCTGCTTTACTGTATTTATTGGCACCCATATTATAATTCCATGTATTTTTTTATTCAATAATTGATATTTCAGTAAGACCTTACATTAAATGGCTGTTAATGTTTAATCCACGGGGAGTTGTATAAATGCATTGTGAATTTTGTATTCATGTGTAATTACATTAAAATGTGGACACTTTCTGTGAAGTGTTACTGATATATCTTTTTGTTCAACAGTGCAATGTAATGGACTATTTATTTTTATGTCAATAAAGCAGCTTAAATATAATTGTCAGTTTTATTTGTATTTATTTTGCTGCAAATTTAATCTTTTTTGTGTGAATTAAAAAACATTATGCATCATGTGTCAGTCAAGCTTCGGTAGTACACTGACTGTGACCATTAGTTGACTGAAGAGAGTTGGAAAATGTCTTTGCAATTTAGCTGCGGTGAAGGTATTTTTTTAAATTACTGACCAACTAGACTTTTCCCATGAGATCTGAAGGTTCCATATCTCTGTGCCCATTATGAATTAATAATTACATTAAAATAAATATTTGAAAGTAGCAGTTACCATACTTATTGTTAATGTTCCAAACACAAATGCAAGAGATTTTTTCTTTGTTTCTGTTTCTCTTCGTATTTAGCCACTTGAAGATCCCATAAATACCCTGGAGATCTAATGCATCTTTTGTTTGTTCCTATTATGTGAATGAAGTTGAAAATGTCAGCATGAGTCTAAAAGTCCAGCTACCACAGATGCAGGAGTTGTCAGAATCCACCCTCCCAAAATGAAAATACAATCCTTTCACTGAAACCAGCCAAACCACTACTGGAACACTATAAACCAATAACTGGAACAATGATGAGCAGATTGAGATTTATGTTTTGTTTTGACCTTACAATTAATTTTCAAGGTTTTAAATATTTTATTATGCTAGTTCATAATTTCCAGTTCCAAATACAAAAGTTTCATTCCATAATAATAATTGCTTACACTTATATAGTGCTTTTCTGGGCACTCCACTCAAAGCGCTGTACAGGTAATGGGGATCCCCTCCACCACCACCAGTGTGCAGCCCCACCTGGATGATGCGACAGCAGCCATAGTGCGCTAGAATGCTCCCCACACACCAGCTCTCAGTGGGGAGGAGAGCAGAGTGGACATTAATGGACATTATGTTCAATTTTGAGATTTGATGCTTAATATGAGAAGGATGTTTGAATATTGCATTTGTCCAATAAAATTAATAACATGATTATTTGCTAGATCAATGGCTGAGCTGTATTCAGTCATTGGCTAATATTAGTCCATCTTCTCAATATATTTGAAGTTTCACTGTTTTGTCAATAGACATTGATTTAAAATTCACTAGGAGTTGCTGCCAAAGCTGACATTTGGCTCCAGGAAAGTAATGAAAAATGCTAGCTGAAGTTTCAAAAGCCTATATGTTTTAGAGATGATGGGCTAAATTTCTCTTCTAGCACAAAATGTAATGAGAAGTAAGCACTGATAGTGGTGATCGATGCTACCAGTTTTGGTGTTTCTACAGTAGGTTAGTTCTACAAACTAGATATACTCTAATGTTTTATTTTAATCTTTTCATTTCTGTTTACATTTTAGATTGTCATAGGTCTTAATCTTGATCTGTACTGCTAACAATTATATAAGCAAAATGATAGGAATGTGCACTAGTAATAAATTATATAAGATGACAAAGACCCTGAATGTTTTTTTAAGGGTAGATGCCAAGTCTTAAAACTGGACTGAATTGGTCTCTCAGTTCTAATCACTTGGATTGAAGGGCTTCACTACGGTCTTTATTCATGATTGCATTGTATGAATCTCGTGTGGTTATGCCATCCTTTCATTTTTGAATCAAATCTCTATATGTGTGGTGTTCCATTATTTAAAAATAAAAATCTTCGGCTTCAGGGTGGACTGTTGGCAGATGTCCTTACAAAAAGCTCCAGAGAAGACAGACGGACACGAGTGCTGTTTACCTGGGACTTCACGGAAACTGCACGTCTTACTCGTCTCTTTTTACAGGCACCATCTCTTAAAAGCATTAAGACATTTAATTATAATAATAATAATAATTGCTTACACTTATTTAGAGGCCTGCAAGAGCTTACTTTACAAAGACCGTTCTAAGTATTACTGTAAATGTCATGACCAGGTGTAGCTTTAAAATCACTTGTTTTTTATGTTATGTTTTGTACGACAGGCCTAGTTTTTTAGGGTGAACCAAGCATCTCTTGATAGACGCAGGACTACACAGCATTTCAGGTAGTATTTGGCGGGTTATATTTAAATAACAATGACGTAATGAATCGTGTTCTCCAATGCCGAGGAAAGGGGGCGTGTTCAACTATTTTGTTACAAACACGAATCCGGAGTGTGAGGCTTCTTTTTTCTAGGTATGTAACAGCTGTTAAAACAAAAATAATTACAATTTAAAAACTCAAACTTTGCAATAAAATAAGTGGGCTACGATTGCGGGCTCGCGGGGTAGTTACTTAAAGAGGGCGCCCCTTTTGATCTTTCTTTGCTAATGTGTTATCGATGTTTGAAAATGAACAAATTCAGAAAGCAGGAAGGGCTGTGTGGAAGAGGAGGGGGCATTTTATTTTATTTGTAGTTTAGGGTTCTGCAAATGCTGATTTATTTTGCCGATGTTGAAGCCGGGCAATGCAGGTCTTTTTTCACACTTGGAAATGCAAAACGTGTAGGAAAGAGATATGCACTGGAGGACAGCAGTATCGAAAACGTTGAAAATATTTCTCCGAAAATAGGAGTAAACAAAGAATTGCAGGGTTGTATGTTGAGACACGGATTTTCCCTGTTAAGTCTACTTGCGGGTTACTGTTGATGCGTATTTAAATCGAGAATCCATACACGGTTATCTTTTGTGATATTCACGTATCCTGATCTTTTTTTTTCCCTCTCTGCTGTCAGTTATATTTTTCGCTGGACAAAACCAAGCTAAGACTTGGCTTAACGCAAAGAAATGTATCTGTGGCAATGAGACCGTCCGTTTCAAGTGTGTATTTGTCTCCGTCGTCACGTTTATTCTCGACAAAGATCTCCAGTTGCGTGGTAGGAAATACGAACAACAAAGAAATCGAGTCCGGTATTAAGACGTTTATGAGCCGATTTGCCGCGTCTCCAGCGGATCGCTTGAGAGAAACCATTGCTTTCGATTTCATTGTACTCTTGGTTGTTTGGAAGGGTATTGAAATGCCTTACGCTAGTGGTAACTTTGTTTTAGATTATACGGAGGCGTTTTAATGATAATGTTTTTTTTATAAAATTCGTTATGTCTGCCGGTCTGAATCACTTTCGTCCGAAGAGTGAAGACGGAAGACTTCTCACCAGCCGAAATGTATTCGTCATTGCATTCGTGCTGAAACAAAACCATGGTAGCAAAATGGTTACGTGGTTAAATGCTTAGAACATCGCAACATCGCCAGCAACGACCACCCCCCAGCACAAGTGTAAGAACAAGTAGCTGTGTGTGCAGTAATGTTTATTTATGTTGAATGCACATTTCTGTGAAGTGCTTATGCTTGATCTGAGCCGATTGCATTAATTTTAAAGTAGCTACGGCTCTCCTGCACGTGAAGCGCTTCATGGCAGTACTGTGTGGCGCCCGCTTGACTGTTTATATAGAAAAGAAATTCAGATGGAGGGGGGGGGGTGGAAAAAAAAAAGCTAAGATCTTGCCAAATCCCCATTCACAAAGACCCATACGAAGGAAAGAGTGCGTAAAGCAGGGACGGACGATCGGGTAACCCGCAAAGATTTCGGAGCGAAAGCGTCAGGTCCCTCAGACGCTGGGAATCCCGGGCAGCTTTCTAGTCCCGCCCCTCGTGGGCGGGGATTTATTTCCGAGTTCCGCCTCGTGTGGGAGGGGGTAATTATCGCAGTTCGGACTCTGATTGGGCGAGGCCGGGCCACGCCCATCGAGGAGGGCCCTCCCATGACGTGATGCGCTGGCTTTTACACATTTACGCAGGTCAGTCACGTGGGTCCTATAAATTCAGGAAATCCGTGTTCAATCCAGGCTGGGGTCGTTGCAGGTTTTGGCAGAACCTCGCGTTCGTAACTCCCCACACGAGTCAATCTGCATGTACGGGTTGTAGGTGTGCTTCCTTCACGTCGCTTCAGATTTAGTTGCTATACGGCATAGTTTGATTTGACCCTATACCAAAGTTGCTCAACAACATAAAACTCGCAGTTTTTGAACCCGGAGATAACTAGCCAGCTACCATTTTGAATGTTATTCACCAATGAACCAATCTTGGTGCAATAGCAATTATTTTTTCTATCGTTCACATTGCATGCTATTGTAACATTGTTTTTGTATCAGTAACGTTTCGTTTACACGTATGTTATTAATTTTATTCTATTGACAGATTTAGCTAAAATGCGTCTTGTTATAAATATATCTTGTAATGGCAGTGAAGAATTGGCGTTTATTTTGCTGTGCAGTGTGCCCTGAGTTCTTATGTGCACTTATCTCACCAGTCTTTTACTGTATTAAGTACACCTGTAAGATTCACGCTTCTCATTTTATGTGTAGCCTATGCATTTTTTTTAGCTTAGGAATGAGGACTTGAATAATAAAATAAAAAAAATGAAATTTCACCCTATTGAGTTCACAACTCAATCTGAAAAATGTTCACCCTTTTTTCAATGAAAGATTATTATCGGGAGGTTGGCGATTCAACCCATGTAGCTCATTTTGTTGTTTGTAGTTAAGTGATCTTACTCGCTAACTGCCGGGGAAAAAAGCCAGGTTATCAGATTTGACAACATGGCTAGGCATCTTATTTCAGCTTCCTACAATCCCTGTGTAAAAGAGTGACTCTTGTTGCCAACTTTGGTTGCTGGTCCCCATAACTCCAAATTGCGACCCTTGATCCATGTCTCATTGTCGGCCCTGAACAGGTCTGCTAGAGGTAATGTATCTCGTAAGGAAAGGAACTTGGCCAAACACATTCAGGAAGAATATCAGAATACATCTATACACCTACTGTCATTACTGTGACTGCATGACAGTGACACTAGTTGCCCCTGCTTTTTAGCACTTAGAACAAGTTCCAGTCGAACTGCTGTGGACTTGTACTCGTTTTTATGTGATTCAGCCCCTAACTGAACTAACAGTAACAGTTTACACGATTGGAAACATTGAACGTTTTTTTCTTTACTCAAAAAGATGGAGTTCTTAAGTTACCGATGAACCAGATGCTAAAAAACAATCTTGTTTAGGAACCACAAAAAAGGGTTTACATCATTCCTATTAATAGATCAGGTAAGGGTTCACGTTTAATGTATAATGTAACCAAGGTTTTAGCTGGAACAAAATTCAGGTGGTCTATAGATCCCCACAGGTGCAGGAACATTGAAGAATCTTGATAACTTTTAAGGAAAGGCCCACACCACAGTTTAATTAATTTATAAGGATTTTTCTGTTACTGGTTTTTATTTCGAGGGCAGGAAAATTAACACTTTATAATACAATGAAAAGATGAAAGAATAATATAAGCACAGTGTACTTTATAGATCTACGGAAATGGTGAACAGAAACGCTTCACCCTTCTTTCTGAATAGGGAAAATGTACGTATTTTGAAAAAAGGTGTCCTATACAGAGTGAAATGACTTTTACAGGACGTATCTGCCATTTGCCTGAAATGTCAGTTGCATAAGGTTTATGTTCATAAAGACAACCGCGTAAAAAAAACGCTGCCTCGATGGAATAGTGGCTGGTCAGATCTCAGTGTTTGAGGTAAACAAAAGCGACTTGTGCTTTAATTCCATGCAGGAGTTGAAGTGTTTCAGTTCCACAAGTTCGTCAACTCATGCTCGAAAGCGGAGTTGTTTCCCGGTTTTGTTTTGAGAAGAACGACTCAGTAGTCCGCTGTACACTTCAGTTACGAAGTAAAATGCTCATGCATCGAGGCGTTAATCGAAACCAAAGCTGAGATCACAGGAAGCTTGAGTTATCAACGTAAAAAAATGAGAGCCACTTCTCGATACAGCCCTTCCTTCCTTCTAAAAAAAAAAAGTCGGTTTAATGGAGGTCCACTCGACAGAGCATTGTTAGAACTCAACCGGAGAGGCGTAACCCTTTCTTACGTGATCGACGGGGTCTTGAGCCAAGCAGACATGTTGTGTAGTTCAAGTATGTACGCACATGGCCCTCCTACCAGCAACCCCTAGTCTCCCGGAGCCCCGGTTCTCCGGATTTCAATAAGGGGCGGTGCTTTAGCAAAGGATGAGTGACGGGCCGCGGCTCAGCCCCTTTGTGAGGTAAGGCTGAGTTTCCCCTCGACATGGAGTGACAGGACCCCCAGCCAATCAGAGAGAGGAGGTTACGTCCCCTTTTCGGTCTCTTTCGGGCGGAAGCCAATGAGACGCCGGGGTGGGCGGGGATTAGCCCACCTTCCCGGAGCCCCTCCTCTCGGTAGAGAAACGAACGGAGGTTGTTTTCTGAAGAGAATTTTCCTTTTGCGGTCTGGCGCCTGGGTTGTTTATTTTATTATTATTTTGATATCTTTTGGACACAAAAAGTTCTTTTACCCAGTCCTCAGCCTTGTTTTATGGTCGTGGGTTTTTTTCATTTTAATGTTTTTATTGTCTGGAGAGTTTTAAGCAAAACAAATAAAAATAGGTGCCGAGTTATTTCTGTTTCAGGTCGCAGTGTTACGAGGAGGTGAGTTCTTTCAAATTTGGTTATTTTGGGGGGATTTTCGGATGAAGATAAAGAAATGGAAGGATCTTCCGAAATCGGTCCGGTTCGGTGCATAGTTTTTGTTCTGATCTGGCTTCCTCGCTATGATCTCATGGTCAAACTGTGCATGTGTAGTGTCTGCATTGACTGCCTCCGAAATGTAATCTGTATGAATACTGTTGGGGAATACTTAAAAGTCCCCCTTTCTTTGGCTTGCGTACGAAAATGACTGCTTTGTCACGGACGCTTATCGGGTTTTTTTTTTGTCCTCCTCCGAAATGCATGTGCCTTCTTGGCAGGGCATGTAGTTCTCCCGAGCTACGTGTCTGCGGTGCAGCCTTTCAGAAAGACTCCCTTCCCCCGGCGGCGAGCCGACTACGCGAGGTCGGGGCTTGTGGATT